ACTATAGTGATTATTTGTTTAAGTAAAGTGGAAACAATATCATTAAATCAGTAAGTGACCTTATAAGTCATTATACAATGTTTTATAATGTTATGAAGAACTATGAATATTTGAGTCCTTATAGCTATGATACAGTGAAATAAGCATAATACAATGCATTATAAGTATGTGTGTAATGTATTTTAGACATGGGCATCATAGAAAGTGTTACAAAATCTTTATATTTTCATTAGAGTATAATGTATCATGATGTTTTTCAACAGAAGGTACTTGTTATAATTTATGAACTATATTTAAAAAAGCAGAGTGATAGAACATGCTATATTTCATTATGTATTTACAGAATTGTGAAACGAGGCATGCATTTGGGTGTGACTAACATATCCTATTTTGATAATATTGTGACGAGTGTCACAGTAGATGTAGCACCCCTATGATATACAAAGCTACAAATAAATAACAAGCATTCAGATCCGCTCATTCATTTCCACTCGATCTCACTGAACGAATGAGACAAGCTCATTGTAACAACGGAACATGTCGCTACAGTACCATGGTACCATTTTGTGTCCAGACCAACTTACACAAAATAAAACCACCTTTCATCTGCAGGAGCTGCAGGGAGACAACATGTTTTTAAAGATACTGAAATGTTTGCTCAAACATAATACATTGCAAAGAGTTTTTAGAAGTATGCACTATAACCCATGATCATGTAAACAAATAAGCAAACTTTTGAAGTTAACAATATGTGTATGCTGTATGTTGTAAAATTACTGAAAAAGAAACTGTTATTAAGAACTAAAGTGAGCTTGGTAAACATTATCTCATGGGATTGTGTGAGAAGGTTTGCTTATGCATATGAAATTGGCCAGCTAACAATGAAAACAGTTGAATTCCAGTGCAGCGATGAATGCAAATTGTATCTAATTCAAAAAACAGAAAGACATGTGTCAGATGATTTATTGCATATTGGCACCTCTGCAGGCCTCATAACAGTGTGAGCCTTAAATTACCACAATAAATTGTCACTTTGACAAGCAATGCAATTTTGCGGTGCACGATCTGAGCTGTCAACGGGCACAACATCATCAGTGAGCCTGACAAGCAATCCAGCAGCATCTACATGGTTCTATTAGGCTAAAGTTGGATCCACGAGTGGGCTTTTAACTAAATGCATTCTGGTTAACGGTGGATGGACTGTCCACAGAATGGGCCCATGCTTCCTGGCTGATAGTCACCAGAGGTTTCAGTGGCCATACTGTGTTTCACAATGACATGGAACGGTGGCTTGACATGCCTGCGAGGGGACATCCAGCCCTCTCACTTCTTATTCCTGATTCCTCATTTTCTCTGGGCTCCACAAGATTCAACTATCAGACAAGGCTGTGGGTATTATTAGACAAGGGTGAATCACAAGGCACATGGACACACACACACGCACACACACGGTTCACATGCGAAAGATACTTTTTTCAATTTTTTTACACAATGCAGCACAACAGTAGGCCTAATCTGTTGTCTCAATCTATTCTAATAACATTTGAGTTTTATAACATCTTTACTCACAAACAACACGCACTTAAAAACGCACATTTACCCATATACACCCATATAAGGCTTTGGGTCCCTATCCCACCAAACAACCAAGTTCCTCTTTCTTTTGTATTGCTCAAGTCAGACGAGGATGACTCAGTGCAGATATTAATCATGTTTTTTTTCCCGTTATCTTCACATCTGACTCTGCTAAGTTTGCTTGTCAGAAACGCAGTCAACAAGTCTATTTTTAAAAATCTGAGAACTTAAAGATTGGGTAGACTTCTTAAATGTTAAAAACAACATGCCTCGAGAACACCGTTTTCCTCCGACAATGTTGCTGAACGGAGTTAAGAGTGTTAATTATCATACATTTGTACATTTAAAACAATTCATCTTATCTTTATGTCAGTGTTTTACAGTTGATCTAGAATGTGTCAAGTAGTCTTACTTTAACTCAGGAGAGACTGCTGACCTATGTGTGTTTAGCTACAAGTGCAAAACTAATTTAAAAAGCAGATGGATTGTAATTGCTGTGGTAATATAATGATTCGTTTTCTTGACTTTTGTCAGGGCAATATGTCACACGATAATTTATGCAGTGAACTCCTGTCAAATGCACCACCTGCTGGTCAAGCCGTTAATTAAGGAAATGTATTGTACTGTTGGACCTTGGGTGCTCTACTACAGGTGAGGTGGGGATATGGTCCTGAACACATCGGGACCATAACATGGGAGCAAAGTGCTTGTTATGGACCTTGACAGACTGTATATTCAAAAACAGTTACTTTTATAGTTTTGCTTTTACAGTTACTTTGAATGATTGACCATTTTCAAACTGTTTTTGTTTAAAAGACAGTTTAAGAGAAGAAGATGAAAGAAGAACTACCAATAGATAATTCATAAAACTGCTGCACTCGAAGTAAATGTCTTGCATTCATTCAAAATCCGACCTCAGTAAAAGTACAGAAGTAATGTAAAATTCACGCAGGGGAGCAAGATGAATCTGATGGGTTGTGAGATTATCAATGGGGCAGGATGGAAGACAAAACAACGTTCTAATACACAAATATATATTAAGGTTTTTTTTACTTTTCTCTGATATTTTCCTTTTTTTGACACATTAAATAAGCTGGATCAGTTATTTAAAGTTACTTCAAGGAACTTTCATTTTGTGTTGATTTTGGCGGTCCCTGTGGACAAAAGTGGTAGTGTTTCTGAGCATCAAAGTCCCTTTGGAAAACCTTAAATTTTACTGCAGCAGGGTCTGACAGTCTGACCCGCTCAGTTCTGGTCCTCCCTTCCCTCCACAGGCCCAGCAATGAAGCCTACACTTCCAGCAGCATGGTGTCGGTGTTGGGTCCCAGAGGAGCAGCAAGGCAAAGCTCTGCTCCTGGCCGGAGGAGGAGAGGCTGCTGTCGGGCACTGAGCTCTCCTCCTCCCACCGGAGCTCCTGACAGCAGGCCAGAGGCCCCGCTGGAGCCTGAGCTGAAGGAGTGTCTTGGGAACCTGCATGATTTTGTCTAATTTCACAGAGAAGCCGACCCGATGGCACCAATTACAAGCAATACGCTTACTATATAGAAAAAAACAACATTCTAGCTGATGGTCTTGTTTACTTATGTAGGCCATAGAGGCTTCAGTGTTACATTGGCACTGTTTCACAACCAGTTAAAATTTCCTCACAGTAACTTTAAATGAAACCAACTGAAAAGGTCAGAGGATAAATGTCTCTTTAGTGGAACTCCTAATAACGTATAGACATCTGAAACATGACCAGAAGCACCAAGTAAACAGGGTATGTTTTTATGGGGTCACAACCCATAAAAGGTTGCAAACCAGCGGTTCAGTCTTTGTCAATGCATTGTTTTGCAAGCTTACCATATGTTTCTTTATGTAACATCTTAATCTGTGATGTAACTAACAACTCCAGCTGTCAAAAATATGTAATGGAGTAAAAAACATAATATTTGCCTCTGAAATGTGGTACAGTAAAAGTATGAACTGTAACTATTAAAGTACAAGCATACTTTAAAATTGTTCTTTACTACAGTACTTGTGTAAATGTACTTTTCACTTGTGATAAAATCTCTTAGTGTCGATACATGAAACATGTTATATATTATATATATTATATAATGTTTTTTTTGTGGGGGGGTGTCTCACTTGATGGTAAGTTGGTCTTGTGATTTATGTATTTTTTACGTCTAACCAGTATTTCTCTGAGCCAAAGAAGATTCCACATTGAGACAGTGATGTATATCATATGAAATACCTCAAATCTGACGAGAAGAGGTCTGTAATGAAGTCCAGCATGGATTCATTTTAAGGGGTCATTGAAATAAAAAAAGTTTTGCAACCTAGATTTGTCAATGACTGCATCTACTTTGGCTGATGATTTGTTGGATAGGTTGGTTCCTCAGTCCTTTGAATACTCAAATTGGGAACCCTATGTTTTGATAAGCCTTAAATAGTAGACTTACTTTTGTAACTTTTACAACACTGTACACCTTAGTTACAACCATTGTGCAAAACAGGTGTTACTAATAACACTAACGAGGGCTCTGTTTTAACCAAGTGTCCCAGTGAGCTGTGAGAGTGTCACAATATTTACACCTGTGTTTTTTCTACCGCAACATGTGAAAATATCTTCTTTGGAAAAGCCCAGGGCTATTAATATTAGATAGAACTGAATTCATCTGAAAGGACATGTTTGTGACCAAGACCCTCAGTATACATAGTACACTTTGTTGTATAGACAGACTGGGTAATGGAACAAAGGGAGTACGAAATTACATATGATGGCGCAAGCTTACGGTCAATGTTGTCCTGAAGGCCCCATCTGAGTAGACTGTTGCTGTCCAGTAGGTTACCTGTTGGGAATTATGAGAACAATACTGTAGTGAAAGGGGTTTTAAGTGTTAGGCTGCTAATACAAATTACAAGTGAGTATGATGAACTGAATTAAAGGAATACATCACACACACACACATTTGGAACAGCTTCTAGGACTGGGATATATGGACATTTTCTGGTTTAGTAAATTCCTTTATTCAAATAAAACTCTTTTTGGGACTCAGAAAGCCAGTTCGATTCCCCTGAAACTTTGTTTCAAATTCCCTATAATTAACCCAGTTGTTTTATCCTGCGATTTCCAATTAAACTAGACCGGCCTTATGCTAAAAATCACTATGACCTTTATGACTGTGTGTGTTATTGTGCCTGAATGTAAACATCGACTACTTCAGCTCGTGTGTAAGAATGCATTGGGTTCCTTCTCTCCTGTTTCTTTCCCACCATTTCAATGAAATATAACAAAACTCTCCTCCTGGGGGCTTCTCCTGGAGTTCTTGGGGCAAAATATTACGTTAACGTTACTTCCTGAAATCTTTGGTGGGGCGGGATCCATGTCCCGTCTCTCCTCTCCTGTTTATACGGGTCCCCCCCCCCTCCAGGATCCTGACACGTGGCTGTTTTGGGGAGCCGTGGTGACCGACAGTTACTCCTGCAGCGAGCGGATCCCTGCCCTCCGCATCTGGGACTCTGGTGAAACTCAGCGGAGCCTGCCTTCCAGTCGGCCTGGATGGCAGGGACACACTGGTGCAAATCCTGCAGAAACTACAAGGTATTAAAACATTACATGTCGTTATTTGATTTTTTTTCGACCCCTAAAGTTAGCACTAACTTACTCAAAGTGGCGCTAGTGTTGGCCGTTTTCGTTTGTTTTGCCGTGATTTTGTGTGTGAGCTAACGTCTGTAGCAGACTGTGGGACGTTGCAAGGCTCTGCATGTTTACCAGCTAACGTTAGCTTGCTAACTTTTACGCACAGAGTTAGCTACCGTTAGTTCAGTGTGTCTTTTGTCAAACGCACGGGGTTTCAGTGGGACGTTACTTCGCCGCATTGTTAGTCAGTTTAGCACCGTGGCGCTTCAGTTGTCTGTGTATTTTGTATTTAACGTTAGTTGACGTTATCGTGTATTGTTTGTGAGTTAACTGATCCTCCATCTGTGCTGCGTACTGACAGGAAAATGATGAGCAGCAGATGCGTTCAAACACTTATTAATCCCCGATGTTACGTTATATCGCAACATTTACGGCAGAAGATGATTAACAGTTGCAGTGAGGTTAACGCTACTTAAACTTTTCACTGTAGCCCGACGGTACCCTTTTAAAGGAGCGTTGGCAGACGGCTGCCAACAGGAAGCACGCACTGGACTCTGGTACTTCTGGATTGTTCTTTCCCTGGCGCAACTTCACTTTTAACGCAATTTAAGCATGTGTCGGCAGCTGGCCATAGTAACAACAATTTACATCTGGTTGTAGTTAAAATATATATATATATATTTTTTTATTTTTATTTTTATTTGGGTCAACCAAAAATGCAAGCACGCCTATTCCAGCCTATCAATTGCGAGGATGTGCTGCTTTGTCTAATCGATGTGAAATAATGATGAGTTGCAGACTTAACTTCATGCTTATGTAAAATGTTCCTACGTGTTAGAGAAGGTGCAGGGGAGGCCTGTTTGTCTGAAAGTGTGCATCTCTTGCAGCATTACTGGTTGCAAGTGCTTTCTGGACCGTGGGACGGATGAAAGGTGGAAGCTGTGGGAAGCCCAGCTGGGCTGTAGCTGCTCTGTTTATCCCTGTTACCCTGCTGATGCTGACCTCCGGGGGGGCATCAGGCAGCCACAAGATGACACAAACTTCGATGGCACATGCAACAGCCTCTGCTGCAGGACCGGGCCCCAGCCTGACCGATTACCTCCAAGCAAACATCTTATACAGCGAACAGTTTCACGTGTGGCTCTTGTCCCTGGCGGGCTCTGTTGCTGTTGGCCTCAGTGGGATTTTACCCCTTATTGTCATTCCCATTGAAGCTGGAGCAGCCCTCAAAACAGAAGGTAAGAGATGGCCACATGTAGCCTCAACTTGCATGTGAATTACTCACAATACGATACTATCACACTATTATCCTTAGAGCAACATTGATAATGCACATAGAAAATTCTGTTAATGTATGGCAAGACATGTATCAATGATGCATCATGATATCTCTGTAAAAAGATGCCCTTTTAAGTTGGTTGTATAATTTTTTGAAAAGCAGGAATCAGTCAGTACATGTCAACATGAACACAAATGGTGCCATGTGAAGATCAAACAGCTATAAAATAACAAAAAGACTTCAGTGTTGAAAGCAGAAGAGTCCAGAGTTCAAATTTCTGCAGTAAAATAAATATTTCAGCCTCATTGACCTATTAAGTATATACGTAAGATGCCAGCTCTTTAGTGGCTCCGTAATAAATCTGCGCGCTCCACACCCTCTAAAGGGGGGAAAATAACCCCAGTGAGTTCAACAAGTGGTTCTGCTGGGTCTGAGTCAGCCAGTCCGAGACACAGCTGCACCTCCTTTGGCATTTGAACTTCCTGGAAAAATACTTAAGGCATGAGCTCCATTGCATATTTTTCTGCATAAACATGCCTTAAAGTATAGATGAGACTGAAGGCTGAAGGATTTCAATTTACAGGGAACTTTTACTTAATTTTCTTTTGTTCAGAAGCAAGAGCTGCGTGTTGTACTGAATGGCAACAATGTCAGACTGTCAGTTGAAAGGTCCCCCAGTTCCACACCAGAGAAAGATTGAATATAAATATACAGTGGAAAACAAATAATTAAAAAAAGTAATTAAAAGCAATTTGGATATGTTGTCAGGCAAGTGAACCCGCAAAGTGCGTCTCAATTCACCTGTTTTTATGTGAATTTTCAATTTGCGCATGAGAGAAACTGAGCGGAAACACTTCACCAACCAGACCAGGCAGGTCAGCCTGAGGCCTGCCGCCTCTTGATCAGCCCCACCCACAGGAACGTGGCATTCCAGATGTATTTTAGGCCGTGGGGTTTTCAAGTGCAGTCCTGACCGGAGGTTAGTCGTTACTGAGGAAACTCCTAAAGCAGAAAACAAGTTCTGTGGAGCACATAATCTCTGTGTATATTAGTAGCCTGAGCCAGAGCCACTGTTTTGTGGATTTGTGTGCATCATGTTTAACTTGTTAATTTTTTTTAAATTAATCGGTTGAAACGGTGCCATTTTATATAAAAAAAATCAAAGAGGAAGTAACCTTGGTGCTAAAAATAAAGACTATGTCACAAACTGTCCTAAAGTCAGTGACAAAACAGTGAATCACACATGAGATAAAATAGAAATATGTATGTTAATCGGGTAGATCAGTAATAAATACAGAATAAGGATGAGTTAAGTGTGTGATGGGACGGGTGCAAACAAAGCACAACACCGTAACCAAACCAGACGGTGGAGTGGAGGCCTGGGAGGAAGCAAAGATAAATAGGCTAAGGCCAAATTTCCTCGGGTGTAGGCAGATTCCTCATGTCCTTTCCCACTCTGCCCGTTGGCTCCTGAGCCAGGAAGCCAAACCAACCACACAAGCAACAGGCAGACAGAGGGATGTCACAATCACACAAAACCAATCTGCAGTTCTTAATTAAACACAGTATTCAGTAATTGCGACCCTTTTTCTCTTCTCTCCTTCCCTGTTTCCTCAGCTGTGGGCCAGAGGCTGAAGCAGCTCCTGAGCTTTGCTATTGGCGGTCTTCTTGGTGATGTATTCCTTCACCTCCTCCCTCAGGCATGGGAGCTCTCTCGCTCTTCAGGTGGGTCTCCTTTCCACTAATACCATCGCCACCTTTTGTATTTTAATTATTTTTCATTTCTCAGACCCCTCTTAAATACATGAGAATAAGATATTTATATTTGATTACTAGTTCACAAACGGCAAAGACTGGTGTAGTGTCAGTAAACCTTATTTGAGAGCAGTAATTCCTCAGATATCCTTTCATTTTAAAATATATTAATCATGCATTACCTTTCTTTCAAACGCAAATATGCCATTACATTTACTATGTTTATTAAATGCAACTCTTGGTTTAAGTTGTTGTTTGTAGCACTCACCCATGTTGTAGCTCGGTTTTCACTTATACATTTGCTCATTCAGTCTTGTTTGGATCTCTCTGCTTTCATCCTAGCTGGTAAACACAACCACTACATGACCCAGGGCTTGTGGGTAATCGCTGGCCTGTTGGCCTTCCTCGTCCTGGAGAAGATGTTCCCAGACCAAGGAAGCCACGAGGATCCCTCATCAAATTCAGACATGAATTCTAACTCTGCTGTAAGTGTTTCACCTGAAATATCTTCAGAAGAAATGTTAATACCAGCCTTCACATATTTTTGTTTTCATAAGTATGCTTGGTCTGCATATTTCTAACAGTGTTTTGGTGACTGTAGCATCAGATGACCTACTGTCCAACCAGCCTATCAAAGATCTCCTTGGACAGGGAAGAATTTAAAAGGAATAATTTGATTATAATAATTTTCTTGCGAGAGTTTGATGAGAAAATCAATACTTCTGTCACATCTCGTTGTCGTCGTGAGGATGCCAGGCAGCTGGAGACTCCGGGATGTTACTGCGCCCAGACAAGAAATAATCCAGCACATAAAACCACAAGCAGTTGTTTTTACACTAAGGTTTTTGTTCAGATTAAACAAATGAGAGATTGTCATTTTAATTACTGAGATTTAGATTTTGTTAAGCATGGACAAAGCCAGGCTAGCTGTTTCCCCCTGTTTCAAGTCTTTGTGCTAAGCTAACCAGACAGACATAGAGAGCGGCATCAATCTCTTTCATCTCAGTCTTGGCAAGAAAGCAAATATGCACGTTTCCCAAAATGTCAAGCTATTCCTTTAACATCCTCTTAGTATGAATAGTTATGAAATGGATCTTTATCAATGAGCAAACTAATCTTTTATATTATATTTATATGTTTATATTTATTATTTAATTAGTGTGTTAATTTGTGTCTTGATGAGCATCAAAGTTGTTTGGAAATTAATTTAAAATAGTGACTCTGCAAGATTGATGATTAACATTTTAACGCATGACTTCTTTGTTGACAGTGACTGGCCGGTTGCAGTATGTTTGTAAAGGCGGTCTCATCCTCCCTTTGTATTACCAGTGATGGGTCGGGGGATGGGGGGGGGGGGGGGATTGGACGATTGGAATGCACGGCTCAGCTCCTCCACTAGAGTCTATTTATAGTGCCGGGGTGAAGCAGCTGCTTTAGTCATTTCAGTGTCCACCGGAGAGCACTCAGCTTGTAGACAGAGGCAACAATAGAGTGTGACAGTGTGTGAGAGAGACAGAGGTGATACCTATTTTTCCTTTTACAACACTGTGGGTTTAGGCAAATCTTACCAAAATGTGCAAGGACTGTCACGAGCTGCACTTCTTTTTACTCCAATTGGGTCATTGTTTTTGATGGATGCATCATGTGGGTGGAGAGCTGCAATGTTTATTGTAAGAGATTCTATCACTTTCGCATTTTTAGCTCATTTTAAATGAGGTGTACTGCAGTGGTAATTTAGCTCCAATCTCAGCCCCTCCCAAAAAATCATCAGGCTTCATTACTTCCTCATGCTTCAATCATAGACATGGAGAAAACATTTCCTTGCCGCGACCAGAAGACAGCAGGCTATTTCCCTCTCACTTAATTTGACTATCAGTCTAAATGGCAACATAAGTGGTTTCTGAATGAGGGAACAAGGAAGTTGGCTGTTCTCGGAAAACGGAGGCTATAGCCTGAAATGTCTCTTCTCTTATATTCAAATTAGAAACATGTTGAGCAGTGTTGGAATTTATAGGTCATCTGTAATGTCTGAAAAAATAAGGCAAAAGTACAAATGACTGCTTATTCCTGCATATGTAGGAAGTTGGGGAAATAATTCAACATAACAGCTATTGAATTCAGGCGACCATTAACTTAACTGTTTTTGGTAAGAGTGGTGTGGTTTCCTTACGGGAAACGAGCCCTTCCAATGGCATTGTACTGGTGGTGGACAGTGATGGGTAATAGGAACAGAAAAACATGTTAAACTATTAAAATGTCTTTAAAAATAGAGGTTGGGGTTGTGGTTCACGTGGGGACATGTTTATTTTTTCCTTGATTTTCTTCCCTTTTTCTCCAGTCGCAGTCTACTTCAGCTTTCAGTGGAAAGGCATCGGCATCAGTCAGAAATGGGCACCATGCTGAGTCATGGAAATCCTCCAAGCAGCAGAGTCTGCAGGAAAGATCAGAGAAAATCAAGGTAATTCTGACAACCAAGACATTTCCCAGTTAACAAGACAGACAGAAAATGTATTTCTTTTTTTTTTTTAAAGAGACACCACTGGGGGTAAATGCTTGACATTGGTTGGTTATGCAAGAGATGTATTTCTTGCTTCTTCAAGCCTCCAAACTGATTCATGTAGTTCAGTTCATAACCAGCAACATAGTTGGCTCAATTAAACCAAAATCAGAAAGATAAACTGGCTATTTTAAATGTTACAGTGCATCCCTCTCTCAAGACTGAGGGTCTTTACCTTTAAACTGTGACCCCTGTATGTTCTCGGCCACGTCTCACAGTGTCAGCAAATCCTCTGCACTGCCTTATACATTGCATATTTGCACGTTTTTTTTATCTATACTATTTTAGCCTTTTTTTTTTTTTCCAATCCATATTTTTCCCATAAGTAGTTTAAGCACGCCACATTGCATCTCACCACATACATTACTTGTATGTGCAAATAAACCTTTGAATCCTTTACACTGAATTTGACTTGGTAAACATTCGCACCACTTTATTTAAAATAAACAAACAGCTTCAATCGGAAAAGAGGGTGGGTTACTAGTGACATCACACATTTAATTCTGATAAGCAATCCATCACCTTTTAGTTTGACTTCGGCGGTGTTTATCTCCAATCAAGCTCCGAGAGGGTTAGATAATACGAAAATAAACGGCAAACTTCCACTCAAGTAGCACATCTCGGTGAAGTTTTTTTTACCAATACATAATAAATCACCTCAATAGCCAATCAGGAAAGTGAGACTGATTTAACCACATTACCACTTCAGGATCACCAAAATGTTTTATTTATTTCCAATAAAACTTTTCTAAAAAGTTAACAAAAAACCTATTTAAACCGTTATTATTTTGATTGAGACTTCCAAAAAAGAAACGTATCATGAAGAAATGTCCTGAATAATCCTTTCACCCGTCCATTCCCTTTACTCATCCTCGTCAGGGTTGCAGAGGTTTGCAGCCTCTCCCAGCACACGTTGGTTGAGTGGCAGCGTACATCCTGCACAATTCAACAGTTTATTACAACAATAAAATTGCCCCAGAAATGGCCCATCACCAGCAGCTGCTCTTTGTTTCCTGAGAGGAACGGATCATTTGCTGCCGCACTTTAAAGGGGTCAGACTACAAAGCAGGGAGTAATTTTAGCTGACACCGAAAAACAACCAGGATTCTGTTACGAAAGAGAATGTTGTGACTGATGTATGATCAGATTCCTCTTGACCATACTCGTTGTGGTTTCGACTAATCGAGGGTAACATGAGTAACAGTGGCATTGTGTTTGTGTGTCACAGACCAGTGGATACCTAAACCTACTGGCCAACTGCATCGACAACTTCACCCATGGACTGGCTGTAGCAGGAAGTTTCCTGGTTAGCAAAAAAGTAAGAACTCACAACCTAAGAATCAATCATCTTAGAATGCTTGTATTTCTCATTCAAATGTGGTTCACACGAGAAAAAAGACATTTGTTGTCATCAGTGAGTGAGAGCACCCACATTGCTGTGCTTTATGTTGCTCGTAGGCTTTGTCTTTAGTAAAGATACAGTCTATAAATTGAGTTTGAGGCTTGTCATAATTCTTGGGAACAACACCTTCTTTGCGAGTACATTGTTCGGCAGCATAGGCTCGATGGCGGAGCAGCAGACCCGTCGTATCAGCAGCCCCGCCGTCTTAAAAGCGAACCCGCTCAGTGCACTTTCATTTCAACATTGATTTAAAACAAACTTTTCCAGTTTGCTACTTATTCTTGCTGCGTCATCTGACAGGCTTGTTCAAAAATGTGCACTTTAAAGTGCAGTAACATGTATTTGCGTTGCTTCAGTAGGTTAGTGTATATTTGGAGCTGTGGGAAGGAGAGCATCCAGCTGGAGAGACATAAGGCTAGCAGCATGAACTATGGATCAGTGTGCCAGAGAGGAAGTTCTCAAACATACACATACAAGACATCTCACCGGTGTTCTCTGTTTACTCCCTCGCACATTTATCACAGTATTTGCCATGATAAAAATACTGTATGAAAATGATCTGTATCAATGCAGCGTTGGTTAAATATGAAGATTCATTGTAAAATACTAATACATTTCTTACTTACTATAATTAAGTCTTTGACTATTATCTCCTAAACATTTTTAACCTTTTCAAAATTAAATTTTCAAGCAAAGGATGATACAGAAAAAAAGTCAGTAAGCTATATTATATTGCCAAATGGATTTTTTCGGCTATATTTTCTACTCTTCTAACTGTAACTGGTTTGAGCTTTGAGTTCACTGACATGTAGATATCCAATAGCGTCTCATCTACATGTCGTGTGTGTGTGTGTAAGTACGCTCTGTACACACTTGATAGGTCTCATCATGCTCTTCATGAAGGATTATAAACACTTTTAAAGACCTTAAGCTGTCGCAGCTTCACAGCTCTTTAGGCTGCTCAGAGTTTGTACTTTGTCTCTTACATTTTCCCTCTTTACACTATGCACTGCCAGCTTAACATATAGAGCTTATCACTTCACTCAGGTGCTGTCAAGGATGCATTTGTCATATATTTTCCCTCTGTTACTACTGAGCACATTTCTTTACTACGTAAGACAAAGCAGTGTAAATGAAACTTCTCTTGCAGGTTGGGTTCCTCACCACCTTTGCTATCCTGCTCCATGAAATCCCCCACGAGGTGAGATACAGAGTCCTGGGTTAAATTGTTTATATGATTTCTAAATATAAAGACTTGAGGTTCACTTGACGGTTTCATGTTTACATAGCAGAAAGTATCAGACTGCTAGAGTGCTTGTAAACACGCTAAATGTTTAACCATTCCTCTGCTGGGGGAAATGTCCCCGTCTGCAGGTGGGAGACTTTGCCATTCTTCTGAGGGCCGGGTTTGACCGGTGGAGTGCCGCCCGCATGCAGCTGTCCACGGCGCTGGTCGGTGTGTTGGGAGCTTGCTTCGCTCTGTGCGCTCAGTCACCAAAAGGCACAGGTAAGATTCTCGGCATACATACAATCAAACCATTTCACAGTTGCCAGAATGATGCATAAGTCTTTCCTATTGATTCTAGAAAATGCCACTGCTTGGATATTGCCTTTCACCTCAGGAGGCTTCCTCTACATAGCCTTGGTGAATGTGGTGCCTGATCTGCTAGAGGAGTCCAGTTTAAGGTATGCACATTTGTGCGTGTTCACATTACAAACACAATGGGGAGCCACTTATTAAAACATGGCTCCGTAGTGCTACTAGTGGCCAAAAACTCCACAGGGTACCTTTTAACCTGTTCTGTATTGTTGGAGTTGAGACAGTGGATGTAAGAATATTGTCTACCAACTGAACTTTTGAACTATATGTCCTTGATTCTGTTTGAATCTGTGCCCTTTTTTTTTTTTTTTTTTACCAGGCAGTCTCTACTGCAGATCCTGCTCATTTTCTGTGGCGTGGCTGTCATGGCTGTGCTCTCTGCCATTGTTAATTGAACATGGAGGAAACCCGTCTCTCGCCTTAACCAAACACTAAAACTCTGCATTCTCCACCAACCCCTTTTTAATCCGGTACCTCTCATTCCTGGAAACATGTTACACTAAAACAAATGTCTGACAGAAGAACGTCACTTTATGGATGGAAGACCTTCTTGATCTGCAGACAAGACATTTGTGCAGACACTTTAAAAATGTACCAAACTAAAACATCACTGGAACTAAGAGGGTTTGTATAGATCTCTGTTACCAAATTGTCTTATATCGTTGATCAGACAATCATGTTGTTTTACACAGGTACACCTGACGTACCAGCTCAACAGAGCAGGTATTATTATTGGACTCTACGAGGGCGTCCTTTTTTTAAAATGTATTAAACACTAAATTGTTTAAACATTGTATATATTGATATTTTTCTGATGTAGCTGCTGTATATTTATTAAAAATTAGACAAGCAACCTATAGTTTTATTAGATGTGCACTACCGCCAAGCAATCTTTTTGCCTTGTTAAGATATAAGTGCCAAGAAGTCGGGATGGTCTGTTACACCAAAGTACAGTTTCTTTATGTTTTGTATCTTCTTCACACAGTCCAGTCTGCACCTTTTGATCTCTGCTTGACAAATAATAATTGCAATAAAGTTGAAATGAATTGATGAAAAAGATTGGTACTGTTTGTTAATAATCAGCTTTATACTGTTGCCAAGAATTCAGTGAGACGAGGGACAAATAACTATTAGAAACATCACCATGCAGGATTTTTCATAGCATTAAGTTTCCATCCCTGGAAAAAAAACATGTAAATTTCATATAAAGAAAAACTGCTGTTTATGAACTTTACAACAAAAAGACCACACATACTAGCAGACAATTAGTATGAAGAACTGTAACACGGGTGTGATAATGATCTCAGTGGGATTAGGATATCTTGATATTGATTGGTGGAGCTGTGTCAAGGTGCTGAGGCAGCCCAGTGTGTTGTGACCTCACTGCACAAAAACCTGTCCACCATGAGCATATTTTTACTGCAGAGATCCTATGCCTAAAATGTCATATGGGAGTCGGGGGATGGGGGGGGGGTATTGATTGTGTGTTCACACTTGTCCAATTTCAACACAGTCTGTTTGGCAAGCTTCTGTTGCCATAACGACTCCACCACGGGTTGCCTTCCTTAGTCATCAGCCTGTGAGCGGCCTATTGTCTGTTGGAGCCTTCCTCAGTCACCGCACAGAAGGACAAACAACCACTATGTACACTGTAGTGCAAACACATGAGTGACAAATATTTCATTGATTCTCAGCTGTGTTCCATTAACTTCATTGTTAAGGTCTGAATTAGACGATCTGGGCTTGTTGATGACAAATATAACCATCTGCTCACAAAATCCATTACCGTCAGCCTTTTGATTTAATGCCTGTGCTGAGGTCAATATGTCATACACCAAAATTGTGAACGTCTCCAACACAACCCAGACTTTATGAGCTGTACACACGTGAAAACAATTATCAGTGTAATGTGGTCCTATACTATCAAATGGTCTATCATTTACAGTGGCTGAGTCTCATTTAAGTGCAAGATCAGAAATAAGGAATTAAAGGTTTGAGTATGTGAAAGAGTGGGCTCAGTGTAGACATTTAATTCAATTCACATTGATTATAATCAAGTACAGTATTATAGGCAACAAAAGAAGAAAATTACTGTTTAACAATTATGTATTTAATGATCCTTTCTAGGAAAACAATCTATATCCAGGAACTTATCTCAGACCGCCTTGCTAGATCATGTTTTGGTTGATAATAGGTCTTTGAATGCTTGGCTCCACACTATAATGAACTGCAACAGGATCTCAAACTGGACCACTAAATATCTTCAGCCAAAGATTTAATTGACTCCAATACTGACTAGATCTGCAACAGATCTGGGCAACACAGCTCTTAAAGCTATCGAGGCCTTTACTCCTCACTGTTTTATTTATTGCTGGTTTGATGTCTTTCTTTTATGTTTGCCATCCTCTTCTTTCAGTGATAGTCTGTTTGTCTCAATGTTTGTTTTGTGCCCATGTACACAACATCCTCATGCAAAAAGAGTGCATTGCTCTCATTGGACCAACCTAAAGGTAGCTTGAATTACCAATTCCTAGCGGTGGGAACCAGAGGTTACTCTGTTTAAGTAAGTCTATATGCTGACCTGTCTCTTAGAAGGGTAAAGTACCTGTTTGCATGAAATGTATTCATTTTCGAAAATTATATTTAATTTTTAAACGCATCTAAACGCAGACCCGGCACTAATCTCATTTCCATTAAGTTAATTGGCTGAGTCATACATCCACAATAAAGTAAACACTATGGTTGAGTCACCAATTATATTGCAACTAATGATTTAAAGAAACCACTGCTGTTATTATTTCTAGACAGAAAAATAAAGGATTCCACAGCACCTGTGTTTTACATGTTTACCCCAAAAAATAAATAAATTCAGCCATTCAAGCATCACAAATGACCACTCCCCCGTAGCAGAGCAGCACTTTTCCTGTCCACCCCATCCCGCGACAACCTGGAGGAGAGCGAGCGCAACTACATCACTGCCCCTGCCTCCTCCTCACAGCGTTGGTCGCCATCCATCCCCTCTCCTCTCCTCTCCTCCTGTACCATAACAGATGGTGGGAACAACATTGCATCCACCGGGTACCACAATAGACCGCAGCATCCAGTCCAGACAACGCTGGCCTTGCACCATTATGCTCCTAGTGCAGGACTGCGTGAGGCTGTGAGTGCCGTCGTGATTCATTTCACGCGGTACCACCACCACCACCACGGCCACGGAGGAACCTTCCTGCGACTGTTTGGGCTCTCCACCGAGCGGGGAAGATGGCCGCTATGAAAATATTAACAGGCACAGGGCTCTTCTTGGCTTTCTGTGCGCTCGGGCTGCTCGCCATGGCGATCTGCACCGATTATTGGTACGAGACCGACGCGAGGAGACATCGGGAGAGGTGTAAAAACTATGCCAACAAGCGAAACGACCCGGGCTACATCTACATTTCAAACCACAACCTCCCCCTCCAGATGCCTCCAAAGAGCCTGGAGAGGAAAGGTAACGGCCCAGATGCTGGAGCTCTCATCCGGGGGAAGCGGCACTTCATGGCCGCTGCGTCTCCCATGGAGTCTCATTGCAGCCGGCAGTTTAACTCCACCATCTCCGGGCTTTGGAGGAAGTGTCACCGGGAGGGATTCGACATGGAGACCGAAGACCTTATTTACAAAGGTAAACACGAGCAGTCTGGCTTTTCTTGTGTGCACCAGGCCGTGATGCTGAGCGATGAGCTCACACCTAGCCTGACACAAACAGGATGGCACAGAGGCCCACACTCTCCTCACACAGTAGCGGGTCTCTGCGTGTTAAATTTGTTATGAAACTAGATTAGGATGTTTTTTTAGGAGTTTATGTCTCTTTTCTTTATTTGCGAATTTCGCTGTCCATGGTGCTGAGAGAACCCCCTTTAGCTGAGTCTCTCTCCCAGATAATGGCTGCACCTCTATTTTCTGAACCCGTTTTGCATATAAGAGACTACACAGCATCCCATGAAGGTTACTGTCATAATAATGTGATTTCTTACTGCAAAGGAAGCTGAATCATTGTTCAATTTGGTTTGAATTTTAGATCACAGCGGAGAAGACATAATACCCAGTCTTCCTCATTGAGCAACAATCAGAAGCCATATTTCAGGCCTCACTCATTTAGATCTTAAAACTGACACAAAGACACACTCTGTGTAGAAAACATGGGTGTCCATCAGAAGTTGATGCAAAGTAGACAGTAGAAACAGCCCAGGGCTTTGTTTTTCTCTTTCAAGCATTGTCTCTGGATATTTTCAACTACTTCATGTTTTTTCATAATCCATAGATGTCTGAGCCAGCACCATTATCTACCTAAAGATAATGAATAAGGGCACTTTGGAATAAAATAATCTACAGTATACAGTTAATGTGTATACAATCTATTTATATCCACACATATAGTAAACATAATGACAACCCAGGTATGTTTTTGTTTAATTGACTGAACCTGTTAGTCCTGGGGTAGCCATGGTATGAATATGTTAATCCAATACCTCTGTAGAACATACCTTTTTGAGGCTTGTTGTCTAACTCTTTTCATTGACATTGTCTCAGGAAGGTCTTTATTTAGTTGTTTTAAATTAATTGTACATGTGTGTGCATGAAATTATGGCCACACCTTGTACTGTATATGTTGATAAACTATTCAAAAATGACTGTGGTCACATGACTACAGTGTCTTAATTACTATTAGTGCTAGTAGCTCTAGACAGAAATACTGCATGTAACCTAATGTAAGTGAAAACATGATATTAATCCGTTTACTTAATCTTATCTGATTTTTACGACCATATTCATTCCTTTTCAATAATCATGTTCAGGCCCAATATAGGTGTTGATATATTGAGCAATTTGAAGTCATTAATTCTGCTTTCACAGATTATTTATAAAGGCTAATGACTAATGAATGATACATTTACACATTGTATGAGACAGTCCATATGTCAAAGCGATAACATTTAAAACAAACATAAATACTTAATGGAACCACACTCATCCTTTTGAAAGCATGACGACCAAGTTTCAACACACAGAAATGATCCGGTGTCAGCAGCATCCTTTAAATTATGTCTTATGAACAATAAATGCACAAACTTCAAGTGATGCAATTTGTTCAGAAATTGTGTTCTCATGCACAGGTATGGAGGTTTCTGATGTTTGTCTAATCATGATTACAGTCTTTATGATCACAGTTATGACAGGAAAATGGATTCTGCTGTTGTCGACTCATACTGTATATGCACTGATAAAGTGTTAAATTAACACCACATGGTCCAGATCTATACAGCAAACTTTCCCTAAGTGTAAAGTCTCAGTGATTGTGGATCTTTGTGTGGCATTTTATTAGGCCTTTCACACCCCCACAGGTGTTTTCACTTATTTTGGCAGATTAGACCGCAGGTTAAAGGTGATGTGATGGGAATTGAATTATGTCACCAAGCTCAATGTACCAATAAGACTTATAAGGTTCATTTTGTCCCGCCCCAATAGGAACAACAAAGCTAACAGGAGAGTCACGGAGATGTCAATCAAGTGCAGTCTGTAGATTCCCGCCCTCTCCTGAGAAGACGTCTAACTAGGCAAAATAGCTCAAATCAGATCTACCACAGGTGTACAAAGCATTAAAAAATGTGCCAGGTAGCCACCATTGTGTCTGTTATTGTCATTGGAAAACAGTTTCTTTTGAATTGTGAAAGATGAGAACATGCAGTATTGAAACCACATTCAAAGCAGCTGGGTATGTCTTATAGATGATGATGTCATGTCATCAGTAAATGTGTTATGCATACAGTAGTTTCCATTTCAAAACGTCCGTTTCAAGCTATAGACGTACAAGAAAGTATCTGAAATGCCTTAAGTAGGCAGCAGGCTGCACTTTGGTATCACATGATGACTTTTTTATATGTAGCACATCAATTTGTCTAAAAAACATGAAATATTTGGCCTAAAAGCTGCACTGATAATATGAACTTCTTTCTTAATTAAATAGTAGCCTTGGGTTTCCTGAACATAGAACATTCAGATCAAAGTCTGGAAGCTCATTACTCCAACTATCGAAAGGAAAGACTAAAAATCAAAGATGAATAAAAGTGTGATAAAAGTTATGGGAATTTTAGATTGTATTATCGAGCCATGGACCCTTTTAACAGCAGGTATGTTGACTTACCAAAGCAGGAAAAGCACAGGTGGAATTAATAAAACTGATGACTATACTGAGATGTGCCTTGCTAGGACACTTAATGAAATGGAGCCATCGTTAATATGATTATTTACACCTGTGCTTTTCCTGCTTTGACAAGCCAAAACGTCTGCTGTGAAAAGGGTCTATTGAGCTCCCAATACAAAAAGAAAGATGTCTGCCATAGTTCTAACTTGAGAGATATGCAAAGTACTTTAGAAATATCACAGTCCCTCTCTAAAATGGGAAACTAAAGTGACGATTTGCAGGGAAATTGAAATATAAAGCTGTTGTGTCGCTTGCCATATGGAGTAGGAGCTGGACTACAAAAGTCTTTAAATTCTGAATGTATCGGACTCTGAATGCCTATTTTGAATGCGGTTTACTGCACTGACTATCAAGTCATTATGAAGAGATTCACTTTAAATGAGAACAATTAAGCTTCTTTATGGCGCCTTCGGTAGAATAATCCATATTGCACATTGTTTCCTAATCCTCCCTTAATCACAACGTAGGAGTGGTTGGGAACACGAGGTTAATAAGGCCAGCTCAGTAAATTGAAACTCAGTGAGGGTGTCAAATAAATAGGAAGCTTTTCCACCATGTGTTTATCATATTTCATAATCCCACATGTTGGGCAAAGGTTCAGAATGAGATTTTTACTTAATTTTCTTTTTGTGACTTCGCTCTACTTGTATGTAAGATATTTGTGCTCGAGTTGTTATTGTCTCCATCGTTTTCTTTTTCTGCCAGGAATAATTCAAAGATGTACCGCAGTCAAGTACCACTACTCTTCATCCATCCTACCACGAAATTTACCCATCAACATCACAAAGACCATACGACAGGACGAGTGGCATGCACTCCGTAAGTATCAACGTGTTAGTCTGTCTTTATGGAATTGGTTGGACTAGTTAGTTTAGTCACTGATTAATAATAATAATACATTTGTACCTGTTCTTTGCAGTGTTTGTGTGTGTTTCTGCTTCATGGTTCTACTGTATTCAACTAACAGACTCATTTAGTAATACAATACAAAAAACTAAAACAGTAAAGGTTGAGAAAGTCCCTGACTGGCCCTCTTGATATAGGTCATTTAAAAATGTTATCCTCTAGACAGGGTTAATTTTCAGTGGTTTGGTTGACTCAGTTCTCTAAGGAAATTTGGTGTTCCTCAAGGAAATCTTAAGATTGAATTAAAACAGTTTTTGTCTTGTTTTTATCATTTCAAAGACATTTATGAAATATAGTCTTTTTTTTTTAACAGCCAAACTAATTATTAACTGAATTAATGCAATTTTCTCCTATTGCTGTCATCCTCGCTCCTGAATATATCACTGACCTCATAAGCGCTTCTCTCTCACGTCTAGACTCATGACCAGAGGTTATCAGGTCATCACTATTAGGAAGCCATTAGCTTTCGAGTGGCTTATCTGAGGACATTAGGTCTGACAGATCAATATATTCTTGAACATCTCCCCTTAAAACATGTGGATAGGCTTTTATTTCTTACTTTAAATCCTCGTTCAAAGAGAGAGAGAGTGAAGGAGTTGTTTGACCTTGGATTGCATCAGTATTATTTTCAGTTTTGAAACCCTTTCGTCAGTTTTGTTTTCAGTATTGTTGTGAATCTGCTTTGATATGTTATGTTATGTTATAAACATGCTACACCAAAGCATTAGTTACGATATCTTTCTTTTATAAAATAATATTAGTGCCTATCAACAACACATTTTAATGTGTTGTTGATAGAGTGATAAAGACTTCACCATCCGCTCTGTAGTTGGAGAGCAACAGATTCACCACAACGCAACATTAGTAATTACCAGTTTACACAATAACAGCTTTTAGTTTCACTGTTGAGTTTTAGTGGTGATGTTTTCACCTCTTCCTGCAGATCTAAGAAGAATGACGGCTGGCTTTGTGGGCATGGCCGTGTCCATCATTCTCTTTGGCTGGATCATTGGAGTGCTGGGATGCTGCCAGCAGCATGACCTCATGCAATATGTAGCTGGGCTACTCTTTCTCATGGGAGGTACTGTGAGAGCACATATGCCCACGTCCACACACAAACATGCAGCCAAAATCCAATTTCATTCAATTTGTGTATTTATTTGGTGACAGCTGATAGCATCTTTGGGTTATCATGATAGAGTAGATCAATATCCGGCAGTAACATGATTCCTGTCCTGCAGTAAGATGCACAGTACATGTAGGAATTCAATCATCAAGCTGGAACCATTTTAAATCACTGCTTGTCTCCTCTGCTCAAACAGGAACATGCTGCATCATCTCCTTGTGCACATGTGTGGCAGGAATCAACTTTGAGTTGTCCCGCTACCCCCGCTACATGTACGGCCTCCCCGAGGACATTAGCCATGGCTATGGCTGGTCCATGTTCTGTGCCTGGGGGGGCCTCGGTCTCACGCTGTTGGCTGGCTTCCTCTGCACCTTGGCCCCCTCCCTGAGCACGCCCACTCGCACAACGACCCACAAGCCGAGGCAGGAGAATGGAACCGTGTGACAGAGGCGTTGTGAAGCGACTGACCCACCGAACGCACAAACCGCACCCTTCCAACCTTGATGTTTAACTCTGAAACAGTTTTTTGTCTGATCACCATCTCACACCACCCTCGACATGGCCATCTCCCCACAGTGTTCAGTGTGCCTGAGTTGTGACAGAAGGAGCAAAGTGATGACAAACTTCACACACCTAATCTCGAAAAAATCCCAGAGGGACCTCCAGGAACACCAAGACTAACACCTACAGTAACGTATGTCCGAGGCATCGCTCTCTTAGCACAAATAAGACATTTTTTTGGTTCAGATGTTTGACATGTTGACTTTTTAGCGATCTAAAGGTGACTGTTTTCTCTGAAGATAATTTGTCTTAAAATGGTGCTCTCTTAAATGCATAAAGCCACACACACACTCCCACGCAACAAATACACACACACACACACACACACACACACACACACACACACCAGAACATGTTTTTCCACACATACTCCGGATGAATCATGGGAAAAATCCGTCAAAAGAAAAAAAAAAAAAAAACACACACACAAACATCAGGCCAGAGCATCTTGTCAGCATTCCTCTTTCAGTCGAGTGATGTGAGCTGTGTTATTGTTCGTAATGAAAAAAACAAAATGAAAAAAACTGCCGTTGACTGCCCGTTGCTTATCTTTAGTGTAGCACACTAACTGATATCAAACATGAGACCCAGGGGTAACGTCAAAATGATCCAGTGGCGTGGTCAGTATGATAAAACACACTTAAGTGAATCTGCATTGAAAAGAAAATCGTTTGATGCTTCTTTAAAGATTCTATATGTAAAAATGCATCTCTGTAGATCCAGATCATTGTTTGTGTAAATTAGATTTTGAACAAGAGTGTTTGTTTTCTGTTTGTTTAGAGGAGATGATGGCTGACAGTAAGGAGGGGATTAGGAGTTACAGGGTGGTGCTGGGAGCATGAATCCATTATTGGGTTCAGCAACGTAAAGGTATTTTGTGGATGTGACTCGGTTGTTTGCTGACAAGAGCAAAAACATGAAACCAAACTGTGGAGGGAGTATTTGATTGCTCCATTGTTTACCTTCAATATTGGTCAGGCTTTTTGTGTAATACAAGGGAAAAAAATGCAACTTCAGTGATACATACAAAAGCACAAGCTGCGGTCCAAATCATCATCTGCACAAAGTACAGTAACATAGTAACATCACATATTGGTGGAGGGCCAAAGTGTCATCAGGTCTTGACTAAAGTCTGACTGAGTAACGACTGAGACAATGAGACAAGCAGAATATGGAGAATCATATATGTGATGAACATTATTGTTCCCACAATGCAATGCGCACTGGAAATGGAGGAACTGTTTTTTTTTTTAACACATGGATGTAATAAATACATAAAACATGTTTGATTTTAACTTTAAGATTGATGGAGGCATTCCAAATTTCCAGTTTTAATAATGCATTTCTTGAGCAGTAAAATACATATTCATTGTGTACTAACTTACATTACGGTACAATTTATACTATGTAGTATGCATACTCTTCTGAATTAATGGTTGGATTAGAAATACCTCCAAATCTGGTGGCGAAAAAAAGCACAAATAGTAATTTAGAAAGGACTGCAGTGATGTTAAAAACTATTCCAAATTTACACTGTATACTAATTTTGTGTTTTAATTGAGGTGCACACATTGAAAATGACAAAATGAAGTATACTTAAAATCACAAGTATCCATACTAATACGAATACTGTCTTTAAGTGTTGTGTTGATGATTTAAAAAAATCAAAATACAAAGTGAAAATAGTCATTTTTAATTAAAATTGGGAATGCCATTTCAAATTAACAGTTGAGCTTAGTGTATGTGGTGCACACTTTGAATTGTGTGTCATTAGTACAAATCAGTCAAATGTGCCACTTTTTGTGTACTAACTTACAAAATTGTGCACTTAATAGTATGTAGTTTGGGATGGTGCCATGTGAAAGGTTTTGAAAAAGGAGTGTAGCAGGCAGGACTACAGTTTATTCAGTGGAAAAGGTATAAACAATTCTCTCTGTGACACTTGTGGGTGATAATAACTCACAGCAGCCAGTTTTCTCTTACTGTATTTTTCCCCCATAGTCATTAGAAATCATTTATTTTGAAATGTTCAAGCTCACTTCATAAAACAAGAATATTACAGCCATGTGTGATGACTTTTTTTATAAATTGCTGGAGATGAGTCATGAGATATACTATCAGCTATGTCAATTAACTTTCTTAGAAAAAAAAAAAAAGGTGTTATAATGTGTGTTGACGACACTGTGTGTGATGTTCAGTCCTTTCACCATCACCATTTACCTCCTCATGAGGCTACCACTTTTCAGAAGTCGAGGAAATTGACTGAGGCATGATTGAAAACTGTATCTTCAGTGTCTTGTTGAATCTTTGCACTTTGCTGGGTCTCATAAAAGTCTGTGAACCTGAAGCCTGAGCAGGTGGAGTTATACATTATATGTTTGCGAGGTCACATACGGGAGCAAAAGATGACCAGAGCATGTAATAAGCACCCAGTTGTGTCTTTTACAAACAGTTTGGGTTTATACCATGTTGTGTAGGGTCAGTCGGTCTAGGCTCTTATTGTGAAAATATTTATGCCAGAAACAAGGACATACCATAAATATGAAAATATTTATATCTATGGTCATTACACTAACAACTGAGTCAGTAAATTCCCTGACGTCCTCACAGAATGCAATGCTGTTTGGTGTTTTGGTTTTATAAAGTTTTAAGTTCACACCCAAACTACTGTGCAGTAATATAAGTAATTACTGTAAGCAGTAAACTGTAATGTATAAGTACATGGTGCAAGTATAATGTGTTGTTAGGACTGAAGCACAATTGCACACAAAGTTTGTGTATTATAGTTGGAAATCTGACTTTTCCAGTACTGATGTGCCACCACTGCACATGTGCAGGACTTTGTCAAAAAGTATTACAAGCAAACATTTTAAAGCACATATTTACGCCCCGTATCTCAAATAGTACCTTTTAAAAGTAACACCAACAAAATAACAATGTCCGTATTTCAAAACAAAGATTTTGTCTTTCATTGGATTGCGTTTTAACACAGAAGAACAGTAGCACACAGTAGCAAGATTGACAAAACATTAAGAATGATGTGCTTCAGAGAACAAATGGGGTCAACACAGTATAACAATGTATTTGAAATTGTTGTAAAATCCCTCTCAAGTGGCAACTTCCTGTGTTTCATGAGGAACTTAGAGATATACTCTGTGCAATGAGAGATGCTCTGTGAAAACGCCACCGTTTAGCGTGGCACTTGTTTCAGTAGCACAGCTATTATTTTCTACAAGTCATTTATACTGGTTCAATCCACTGCAAATGTTATGTGGGGACTAAAGAGACATTACAGTCTTGCATGATCTCATTACGGTTAGTTTCTTTCAATATATTAAAACTTGTGTCCATTTTTAATTGATTTATTTTACTGAAATAAAACATGTAATTACTAAAGTGTTGTGCCGTTCTGTGTTTGGATTTTGCAGTTTTGCTCTCCATATTTACACACTTGTCTGTGAATCGTTCCCATTAATGTTCCTTTTTTAGAGCACATTTATCTTGACGAGATGTGACTCCAAATCTTGCTGATGAGGCAGCAATGTGTTTTGTACTATCTGTGGGCATGAGGTAGTTTATGGAACTGAAAGCATATTTCCAGTCCAACTAAGAAATGAATGTCCTGGAGAGGCAACAGGATCATAACAGCAGACAGAACCCTCCTCCAGATAAGCATGGAGGCAAAGCTTGGCCTTTTGTCGCTGAGGACATGGTGCCATCTAGAGGGAGGACTAGATGTTTTGTGTCCTTGCCTCTTAAAGGCTGAGCGGATACAATATTTGCTACAGGCAATGTAAAACTAAATGAGAAATAAGAAATATACAAGTGTGTTTTGGATCCATCTTGTGTTACATAATATTAAATAAATGACAAATTAAGATCCATACTGTTAAAACAAAAATGTTATAAGCTGTGATTTAGGATGTAAGATATGTTCTGCCTTTGAAAAGAAGTTTATTGTTTTCTAACAGAACCCAACTCGGGTCTAATTTTCATACATTAAAATCACTAAGAGTAGTATTCAAACTTCTGCTGGAACAAAATACAAAAGCTCAAACACACAAATTGAAACTACCGTAGCACAATACATAACACATAACTGTATGTTAACGAACTAAACTACATCAGTACAAATGCATAATGTAACATTATTGCATACAGTTCTACACAAAACCGTCCTTTGGAGAATATGATTGCATGAACGTTATCATATACAGCACATAACAACTAGTGTTGACACTAACAATTATTCGTATACTTGATAAATATTCTGATTATTTTCTCTATTACATAATTAGTCTGTAAATAGTCAGAAAATAGTGAAAGATTCCTGTTGTAATGTCTTACAGCCCAAAGTGAAGTGTTCAGATTGCTTGTTTTATTCAACATCATAGCAAAACCCAAAGACAGTTAGTGTTTTGTTTTATCATATGTGCCCCCCAAAAAGAGCATTAATTAATTCATTATTTATCGTCAGCTAACTGACCAATTTCCGCATGTATGCAGTAAAGTCATTTAGCTACGCTGCCAAGTTGTTGCAGTAATTTGGATAACTCACACAGATAACAATCAGTGAAGAACCAGTCATCTACAACTTTTGAATAGAAAAAGTGTGATTTCCTTTTCAACTTGAGGTAAAAACTATATGTTAAATCCTTGACCTTGTACCGTTTGGTCAGATTAACTGAACTGTTCAGAGCCAGAAGCACAAGCGAGCAGTCTGAGAGTCTACTTCTTGCGACGGTAATGGGCACCGACCACCATGTAGCTGTCAGGTGAGATGCTCAAACTGAGTGGCTTCGCTTTGTCCCTGCAGACCCTGACCTCAGATCTGCTGACCGGACCTCCTCCTCTGCAGGGGTCATGTTTCTGCAGGTAACTTGTGAAGGTCTCCCAGCCGCCGCCTACACGTACCATCACATGACGCTCGTTCAGCATCTGCAAAGGTGACACGAGAGAGCACATTCAAGGAGGGAATGCTGGGAAAAAAATGTGATTATATTTCCTCCCAGGATGTGTTTAGGAATAGAACTCTCAAATATATGAAAAACAGTCCCTTACCCCTAACCCCCCCCCCCCCCTCTCTCTCTCCACAGCAGACACACACCAATTGAATATTTACAAGCGCGTGTGTCTCAGGCTCTGAAAGGCAAATGATCTCTCGCTTCGGATAGCTTTGTCAAAATCTCATTAAATCAAATGAAACAACACCTCATGGCACCAGCTGAGCACACACGCGGGACTAATCCACATATGAACATGCGTGCACACGCATGCAGGCACACCCACAGGGAACTCCAACATGAACCACCTAATAAACACAGTTTTTTTAAATATAAAAACGACTACTGTGTCACAATCTATCTGTAAACAGTGGTTGCAGGGAGGTCAGTTTCATCTGAATCAACACATCCTTCAAAGACAGCCGTCCTTACAGCTGGAAAACCAACCGCTGCCATGGCAACTACAGCCACAATATAAAGCCTAGAAAGAAAAAAAGAAATGAAAGGAGAGATTGAGATGAGTTCAGCACAGACCCTCAACTCCCAGTAGACGTTAACATTCCCAGGAGGCCTTGCAAAGCCATTCGTTGCCCTGTGAGCACCGACCCACCCCCTTCTTTCCTTATTGCCAATAAACCCTTCATTATGGAGCCATTAAGGGTGTGATAATACAAGCAGATCTACTCTTCTTATGTGGGGGCGCTGTGTGTTACGTGCGTGAAAAAAATCAATGGTACAACCACGGACACACGCGACACAAGCAGCTATAGAGGAAACCCCAGACGTGGTCCGTCTCAGCTGTCATCCTGCAGATTAAAATGTTGAGGTTGACAGGGGTCAAGTCTGACTTCACCAATAAACCACTTTCCTGTCAAACGTAGAGCCAATGTAATTCTGACTAGGCCTCATTCTCAAAAATCACTAAACAGCCAAAGTTTATTTTCAAGAAATAAAATATGAATTAATCCAGCATTAATTGTCAGTTCCAAATAAATGTTGTGTATAAGTATTTACTGTATATACTGTTATATCCGTAATGTTTAAAATAAGTAAAATTAAATAAATTACTTATCATTTATTATTAAAACAGCAAGTGGGTTATGTTATTTTTGTATTACTCATATAATTGTTTCTAATTATCCTATGTTTCAGTTGCATGTTGGTGTCTGAATTTATATTTGCTGGTTGTGTGTGTAAATATGAACTGTCTTTTAATATAGGATTTGTATAATTCTATACAAATTCAATTGTATATTATACATCAGAACTATGATAAAGCGGGGAAATTTGCTGCCAACTAAACTACCAAACTGATCATTTAATAAAAGACAGAGTCAGCCCCTTTCTGTGCTGTACTATTCAACACAAGCCCTCTTTGTCAGGCAGAATTCTTTATTTCTGTCTCTACAACTCCCCCCTCCAGGTCTCCGTAGAAAGTGTGCTACGTCTGCAGCTCATAAACTAGCGTGTGGATTCCCCTGTGTCCTCCCTGGCAGCTCCATTGATTCTCTCTCTCCTCTTCTGCTGAAACATGCATGAGTGTTCTCAGGGAGGAGGCGTCATTTAAACTTCCGCCAGTAGGAGGCAGGTTTTAGCCACAGCCACCGCTTTTGATGCTGTTGTTAGGTACGAAGAGTCCTTTAAAAAAAATGCACAATATATAAAGAGACAAACTAAGCAGCATTATAGTATATCAACTGATGCAGGCACATGTGTGTCTTATCTCTTATGTACTTTTATATTTCTCTCTGTATTTTGTCCGCATTTATGTTTGAGAGCCCCTTTGACAGCACACTGACAAGCACTGTCGACAAACCGTTTTTTAAAGTTACAATGACAAATTCTTAAATATATCTGACCTTGTCTTTCCTGTTAAAGCTAAGAATAGAGGGTGCTGTATGTCGTGCAGGTTGTAAAGACCTGTTCCAAGTTTTTCATTATAAAATGGAAGCCTTTGACTTTGGTGATCCCTTGACTTTTCCTTTAGCATCACCATGAGCTACACATTTGTGGTTTTGAGTGAAATGTCATGACATTTTTGTACAGACATTCATGTTCCCCTCATGATAAGAATGATTTATAATTTAGATGAATGTTATATCTAATGACAAAATATCTGCAAATCTAATGAGATCAAGGTCAGGGTCACCTACAGAGCTGGAGCTTCTATGGAGTCAATGTCTTGCTCAAGGACACTTGAGAAAGGAGGATGATGAAGGGTTTACCTACCAAAATACTAAGCTGATGGCTAGAAAAACAATTTCATCATTCTCATTTCTGTCCTGACTCTGCTTCCAGACGCAAAAATAAGATGTTTTAATTCAACTGTTTAGGTTTATCTCTTATGCAGATAGCCTGGTAAACAAATCATTTGTGCGGCATGATATTGTGAGGTGTTTGAATGTCTTTTCCTTCTATTGACGCAGTCAGACAGTGTGGCTGCTACAAAGCTGAAGGAGAGCCTAATTGGGCGCAGAGAAGAAAGAAAAGCCTTCCTCTTTTTTAACACCAAAGAATGGTGGAGCACTTCAGGGCCAGCGTGATTGAACAGACTCCAGAGGGAATAGAGACGGGGGGAAAGAGGTGGGGTGGAAAGTTTACACATGAGGAGGGGCGGTCATGCTCAGCCGCTCATTAACAAGCTGTCTGATTAAACCCCTCACTAATGACTTTGTCTCGGTAATCAATAGTATCTGCTCTTTAAAAAGATCTGTACACACTGAATGGCACGCTCTCCTAGGAGCTGCATCGGGGTTATAGTGGTATATGGTAATTGAGGTTTATATTTCCCTGCAGACACGTAGGCAGCTCAAGGTAATGGATGGAGTCAGGGTCGATGGGCTGCAGCGCTCTATTCACACAGCTGAGGTGTGTTTGAGAAAAAAGGAAGGGAGCAGTGCAAGTAGTGTCCACAAACTAGTAATTAAAGCTTGAAACTGACAGATGGACACAGAGTTATGACCGTTGACCAACTAATAACACGCTTTGGTTGTCACATCTTTATCGCCTTTCTTTGATGTTGTTTCTTTTGACGTGCGCCCGTGTTATTGACAGGTCGGCTCTGGAGAGACAGGTGTTCTGTGACTTGAAGGGAGGCATTATTTTCTAAATAGACAGTAAAAATGTCTGTCAGCCAGTCAGAAATGTAGCTGTAACTCTGTTAAAAGCAAACTAACTGTGACAGTATTGATTACCAGTTCAGGGAGTGTTAGGTCAATATCGTTAACACACCAATAAATACATTTAAACTGAACCAATTAGCCTCCAGAGCTGTGATACACCTCCTGGTAACTGTATTTGATGCAGAAGACTTATACTTTGTGATAGACTATTTTTAAATGGACAGCATGTGCTTTTTAATGGACTTGTGGATGCCTTACTCAGTACGCTCTATAAAGTGTGCATTAAATATACACTGAAGCTGTCATATTTTCTCTTTGTATGGCTGGATGGTTGGGTACAGACAGTGAAGTAAAACCTTCCTCTTATATTCAAAACCCCCCACACCTCGGTGGACTTGGACTCCCGAGTGAGCTGCCATTTGCACTGCACACCACGGTCATATCTCCGCCAAATCATCCTGAAAGAGACGTGTTTGTTTTTCCTTCAGGTTTGAACTCTTTGCCGAAGGTCTATGTGTACTGAATAAAATCATTGTCAGCCCGGTCTTATCCTGACCATTGGTTGCCAAGCAACCCTGCCTCCCCGAAGGCCATTCCTCGGAGCCTTTGTACTGACGCACACGGGTGGTGCACGACTCAGGGAGGCTGAAAGGCACAGACGTCTCCATCCCAAGTGAACGCATATCAGTCGCTCTGACACACTGCACTTGTTGCTGACTCAGCTGTTGATTAACTCGAGGGCATTAGCACCTCACGTCTCATTATGCGATGTATCATCCATGACGCATCAGAGTTCATATTAATGTGTAATCTAATTTTACATAACTGTAGCTTTAACTTAATCGTATCACTACCATAATACAATATAAAACAACATATTGGTAGTATTATCGTCAATCTGGTGGAGGAAGTGCGCCTGAACAAGCTTTGTCTTCTATTAAATGTATTTTATATGCTGCTAATTTGTTTTGTCTGTTGTGTTTTGATGTGAAACCTGATTGCAGAATGGATTATGTTCACTGGCGATATTTTCTTAGGTGGAGTCCTGTGTGTGGTTAGGTTCAGGAAACAGAAGGATTTTTGGTTATGGTGATGAAAGGATTATAGTTTCGGATGAATAATAATAAAGTTACCTCATCCTGTCTTGTGCTTCAAATCTAGACTTTTTAAATATTCACCCCATACCACCATATTTCCCTAACTTCAACCTGCTAAACATAACGCTTTAGTATGAATGAAACAAATAAATGAAATGCTTAGCAAAATTTGCAGATACACCCAGTATTAATACATTTGTGACTCTGCAGATTGGTTCATTAACAATACAATTTGTAATCTGGCATGCTGTGTCTCTCAAATACAAAAACCCAGGGTTAGGCTGAACAGACTTACCCGTATGTACAGAACTTTTTCCCCAACACGATAGCAGCCTTTAGGTTGCTTCTCAACAAGGAACCTGGTATGACAGCTGCAGGGGGGGTTTTCAATAATGTTTCTCACCTGGAACAGGTTAGGCAGAGAGAGGGCAAATCATATTCACCTGTAACATCTGTAAGCTGAAACAAGATGACTTTTACTGGAAATAAAAATATGTACAATGTCATCCAAAATGTTGCTGGTGCCTGTTCTCCTCCGGCTTGTGGATCTGCCGGAGGAACGAGCTGCTGCAGGTGGGGAGGTGATGGGAGGTGTAGCAGTGGGAGTGTGGTTGTTTATTGTGGCAGAAGAGACTTTGGAGGGTGCTGAAGCTGATGTGTTAGTGGTGCAGGATGAAGAGAACAAAGGTGTTTGTGTTGAGGCTGTGGTGGTGCAAGGGTTAGATGCTGAGAGGGAGGACTGGGGAGGGGATAAACATGTAGGTACTGGGCTTGTTGTGGCTGATGGAAGATCAGAGGCGAGGGAGGCAGCGAGGGGTTCAGACAGACAGGTTGTGCTTGGAGTGAGGGGCGCAGGTGGGGAGGGAGGAGGAGAGGGGGCTGTGGGTAGGGATGATTGTGATGGTGAATACAATGATATGGGAGGAAAAAAGGAGAGGGGCAGAGGGGATGATGGAGATAAGCACCCCGCCTCCTCCCTCTCGATCTCTCTCTCCAACTTCACCAGCCCCGGAGGCTCTACTCCGTACCTAAGAGAGAGTTTTAACAAATATATTAGCAATCACAAGGATATATCAACACTAAATCATAAGGACTCTTGAACAACAGGGGGATACTTCTGCAGTCACAAGGGGGGCACATGGAGAGACTGAAAGCGGAGTAGCTCAACTCATTTGAAAAAAAAAACAGACCTACTATTTGATTTTGAAATATATTTAAATAAAGTCATCTGTAACTGAGCACCACACGTTGCAAGAGTAAGTGAAAACTTAGCAAGTGACAATTAAAAGTATGATTCAATATTTCAAATAGGTAATTTAAATCTAATTTAATAAGTAATAGATAAACACAAATTGTTTGCTAAAAGTAATTGATAAGTAATGGCTGGCCAGTTGAAAAAGAGAGACTAAGAGTAGGATAACATTTTAGGACACTTCCTTTGATGTCACGATAATTGTGTGGGGAAAATTTAAACCTAGATAGTTGATGGTTTCATACGTTTCAGTTGTGGTTTACTTTTCGGGAGCTGTACCACGTGTAGGGCAGTTACCTGGCTGCAATCCTTCCAAGCTCCATCAGGCACAGGCACACCTCTCGAGGTTGTTTGTGGAGGACTTCTCACCGCAGGAATTACAGAGAAAGAGTGGAGGGGTAGAAACATAAAATAGTCACTCGTCTGAAAGGAAAGATGTTTCCGGTGATAAACGCTCATCTGTGTCAAAAGATAACAGGAGGTGTAGTCCGAACAGAGAGGACACATTTCAGGTGCTGGCGCCCTGTCTCTATTGTGCATCTCAATCTTTGAAGCCGAGCAGGAATTTCTGTGGATGTGCAGCTGAGGGCATGAGGGCATGAAAGCTTCATAAACAAGTCAGCCTCTCCTGCCTCCAATCTGCTGTATAGAAATCAAAAGGGGTCTCTATGCACGCCAGACAAAGGCCAAGCTAGTTCATTTGTTAAAATGATTTGGTTGAGCATGCATTAAAGTATGTACAACATGTGGGGCACACTCTCTAAAAGTCCACAACATTGATGACTGAACAAATAACAACAAAAAGCAAAATACTAACATAATGATGTCACTATGTCACGATCACTTTATTGGTGTTATATTTTCATTCACCTGTATTTGACATCCACCATTACCATCATCATGGCTGCAGCAAGAAAAGGAGACGAGAGAAAAGAAAAAGAGTAATCATCTGTGTCACTGAGGCAGAAAAGTGAAGCCTGTCAAAGTACAGTAAGTTCACTCTCCCCGTCACTCAATTAGTCGAGTGAAGTAGGTTAGTCTGCCTGCAGGGGGAGGTGACTTATTGTCGGTGGAGATTAACCTCCACATTATCATTCTCACGCATCTGCCGCCCTGCGTAGACATGCCCAAGTATAAGACGGACATAAAGAGGAGTACGTTTGATAATAAAGAACCACGTAAGCATGTGAACTACATTATCTCCTCGGGCGCATCATACAGAGGGTGTGAGAGAGAAATGACACAGGAGGTCTGAGCACAGAACATGTATAATCATCACCTTGACTCTGTCACATTCAACTTGTAATCTTAATGTCCCATATTCCTTTTTGCTTCTGATTGGTATGTTTAATGAGTTTGTGAGCAGTGTGAGTTGAGTTTTTGTCAGTTTAAAAAGTAAAGTTATCGTAAATCACCAATAACGTCAACAAATCAGAAAGTAAACAACTGAAAATAAATAATGTAATAATGTTTGGTTCAAGCAAGTGAAAATGAATGTAATATTACAATACAATATAAATGCACCATGTAATATCTTTTGACAAATAAGACACATTATGCTGAGTCTATCACATTTATTCAAACGGAGGGTGGAGGTGGAAAAAAGAGAAGATGTGTCACTAAACACAAAAGCACTGGAGAGATAGAGTAGGAAAAAAAGGACACAGTGCTCTCACTGAACAAGTAAAATAAAATAATAAAAGGCATAAATGCCAAGGAACATCCTTTGTGACTTACTCCTACCGCAGTGAGGTGAAACTCAAAGTCTAAAGATTTTAGCCTAATTAGTATCATGAGTGCTGCATGACATGATTCACTTCAGAGCTCTTTAACTCCGAAATGTAAGGCTCAATCTCCGGTCTTAACTCACCCAAATCCTCTGACTCAAAAAGGTAAGCCTCATCAACGCCAATCTTTCGACACCAGTAGAGGAAGTTGGCGGCGTTGTCTCGGGCGAAGAATGATCCAGAAGATGCATCAGCTCGCCAGTGGATCACTCTTCTTATTAAAGGCTGAACACACACAAAGGAAGTGAGTATGCAGTAGACGCATGTTTACTGCAGTAACACGAAAAGTTGATTAATATGGTTTTTGTGGCCAATGGTGTGTGTGTGTGTGTGTGTTGAGTTGTGTTGTTGCAGCACCTTGCTGTTGTTGGTGTGGATCATCTTGTCCTGGAGCAGCTGTGCGAGCTGACAGAGTACAACGCCGTTGTCCAAGCTTTCCATCAGACTGTCTGCTGTGAGGTCCACACCTGAGGATACACACACAAACATGGAGTTATGTGCAGTAACAGTAACAGTTACAACTCAAAGGTCATCATTATGCTTTTCACAGAAAAATACATAGATCTTTACAAAGAGGTATTCAAACAATATTCAACCCAGACTATATATTAAAATGCATAAAAACAATAAAAAGTATTACAAGTTATTTATGTAGCACCTCTGATAAAACAAATTCAGCTCAAACTGTGCCTCAAATGGAAAGAACAGACAATTTAAACAACACCTGCAACAAATGCATCAGAAGGTTAATGTAGCAAGTCCTGCAGCAAGAGCCAAAACTGTCCACTACAGTTTTCAGTAAGCATGCAGGGTCTTCAAAAGGTGAGGACAGATCAGAAAAATGCTGATAAGAAAATAAGAAAAAAATAGGTTAAAATGCAGAGGAGGTGCTGATTATGCTGCAAGGTATCTTCCTGATTCATTAAGTAAAGGTGAAACAACAAAATGTAAAAATAATGATTGCTATTATTACTTCCGTATTTAGCCATCTCTTAGCACTTTTGTTGATGAGCTGGCGAACCGTGGCATTGTGTAGAAATATGTTCCTCTCCTATTACACATTATATAATCTACTAATGCAGTTATCACATAACTGTTACAATATTATCCTGTTGCATAGAAAACCTTGATATCAAGAGGAAGACAACATTGTAAACTGTTTCAATCTTTCTCTGATTTAAGGATTTATAATATAGCCACAGGAATGTTTTGTCTCCGAAAATCAAAGCACTTTACTGATGAACCGACGCAACTCTTTGGTCCGCGAGCAATGTGGACTTTGTTGTTGCATCAGTCAGAAACTCATCCTGTTGGACACGTGTCACCTTCCAGACACCTTCCAACAGGTTGTGGCATGTGCGGACCCTTTATGTTTTCCCCAATAATGCAGTAAAGTGGTAAGAAACATCCCTTACCCTGGAGTCACAGCCACAGTTCCCCTCATGAATAGGTATTTCAAGGATTTAGGATAATGAGTATAGGTTAATGTGCCTCTGTGTTTAATGTGACTGCGGCTTTTTCAACTATTGCTGAAAATACAAGTCTGTCAAGAGTTCTTCATCTGTAGATATCTGCTGGAAGAAATTCAATTCTTGAATTGGGAATCTTTCCACTGCAGCTACTGTCCAGATAGTGTAGTTAACATGAGTTTGGCATGAAGATTAATGAAGGAAAAAATGTCTCACCCATGAGGGTGTTGAGCCAGAAGGCCAGGTCTTCTTTCATGGGCAGCAGGCTGGCGTCGTGGCGATAAGGCAGCCACTGGTTGAAATCCTGAGGACTGGCGAGGCCCGGCCCAGAGTGTCGGAACTTTTGGCCTAGAAGACAGTTCATCCCCAACCCGGTCAGGTGCCTCGGGCTTAGAGGACTGTCAAGGCTGATGTTCATCGCTTCCACTTCACTGTCCATGCTTCAGCTCCGATCAGTCTTTGACGGACCCTGGTGGATCAAAGAACAGATGGTTTTTTTTACGTTCTTGTTAGCTTTCGATTTTTACATTTTGCCAAAACTGAGTATGGTCCTAATCACAGTTTAATTTATCTATGTTTTGGTCACAACTCAGAGGGTTTGGTTTCAGATTTAACTGAGCTTCTTGAGTCTCTCTGGTGACTCTGGCTTGACTCGGGTTAAAACTACTGCCATGACTGGGACATTCTGCCAGTTTGACTATACTTTACAACTTCAAGGCACATAATATTAGAAATAACAACATGCAACAGTATCAGCTAATACAAGTGGGAGCAAGTGAATTAAATCCTAATTGCATTGTAATTAATGTCTTTTTGTGACATTTTCTAAATGTTCTGATACTGTAAACATGTAACCTGAACCAATGAGCCACCTTTTCAAGTCCAACTCAAAAGTTAATAGGTGCTGTAATCATTTTCCTATAGACTATAGAGAGATCCCTTCCTCAAAGGTAATGTATGGGGGGAAATGCAGAGTCCTTTTTTCATGCAGAGATATAAGGCTTCAGCAGTCTGAGCTCAGACCATATTGGGTATTTTACAAAGTTATTTAGTGCAAATTCCCCCTTTCTGTTTCAGACATATTTCCTTGCTGAGTTGAGACTGAAGATAAGCAAACCAAGAGGGAGTGTTGACTGCTATCCTCGAAGAAAGCAAAAAATAATTAAAACGTAATGGTTTTTGAACGTAATAGCGGTTGGTTATTTGCAGTGAAAACCACAGAGCTGTCTAACACACAAATACAATTTTTGACAAATTTCCCCTTGAGGATGAATAAAGTATATTTCTATTCTATTCTATTTTACATGAGCACAACATGTTGAAACCAATTTTTTACACTGTGCTCCATGCACATACCTTGCATTCACTCACAGCCACACAATACACTAGGTCATTAATCAAAGGGATTAAACTGACTGACTGCAGGTTTAATAAGATGTGCAGCTACAGCCCTGAGCCAGTCTCCTGGTGCCGCTATATGGCTCATTTATCCTGTTCCCAGAGCAGCCTCCATCATAAAGCTCAGCCCCATGCTGAGACATGCTCTGACTGCCAGTAATACTCGCTGCTAATCAGCTGGAATAAAGACAACAACACATGCAGAGGGTCACTGGTGCTGCTGCGTAATGTACAGTAGAGACAGAGGCTCGGTTTGTGCCAAAAGACTGACTTTAAAGGTTTATTGTAAAGTAACAGCACTAAGCTGGCATTCAGACTGAAAACAGCCCGTGTTAAAACAATACAAGGAGCTGCGTTAATGAGGAGGTGTTGTTTAAGGCACTGGTGAGACATGAAATAGGATCTGGGAAGTCCAGTTTGAGTAACAGATCTGTGGATTTTAAAGCCTCTCAGATGCCAAAACACAGAAGATGCACAGAGGTTTATAATACTGCGAGACTTTATGGAAAGTTGCCATTGCAGCAACTATTTTATTTGAACTCTTTCACTGTGATGATTACTTAACGACAGATGTGCTTTGAGCTAAATGCTAACATGAGTACCAATGCTAACATACTGATGTTTGTTCTTGTCCACATTAGGTGTGTCTGTAAGCATGCTCACATTAACTAATTAGCATAGCCCAATGTGCAGCTGAGGCTGATGAGAGTGTAATCAGTTGTGCAGGTCATAAAGCAAAGTATTGGACAAATTGAAATTTTGACGGCATTAAATGGAAAGTGGATACATCACCAGATGGATTACAATTCATTCTGAAGGGAACAAGAATTTCTCTATCAAAATTTTGTGGAAAACTGTCAAATATTTGGGACATTTCACTCAAAAAGAAAAATGTCAACCTCATGGTGGCGCAAGAGGAAAAGTCAGGAAAAGTCCCCAAAGTCATTAGGATTCATTGCATGGGGGCAACAAATGTCTGTACAAAGCTTCATGGCAATCCATCCAAAAGTTGTTGAGATATTCCATTCTGTAACAAAGAGGTAAACCGACAGAGCCACTAGCATGTCTAATATAAATCTTATCTCTAACAAAGACGTTATCTTGAGCAGAATATAAGCACACCTGGAGGGCAGATGTGTGGGACACAGACGGGCAGCATCACAGCTGGCTTCTATAGCTCATTTATCTCAATACCACCTTTGTTTTGCAGTGTCTGTAGCTCACTATTGCAGATCGTCATTACAAGTTCAAGTTTGTCAGAATGTTAGAAGGGCAAAGACGTACATGCAGTAATGTACGTCAGTGAATTCTGGGCTCAGCTTGTGTGAGATAAATGTGAAGATGTTGTAGACAGAGAGTTCTGACTGGACGTAGTGAAAAGGGTCTTTTGTAAACACTTTATCAGCAGACGTGGGACAGAGACGAGGTGTAATGTAGAGGGGGCTGCTGGTTTACAGGTTGACCAGCAGGGCATTAGAGCGTCTGTCTCTGACAAAACATCCAGGTGCAATATTCACACCTCTGCTACAGAATGGCTTTGTAGGAAGGCAAAGGTCAGCTACTGGCCTAGCTCTCAGACACTAGCAGCCTTTATGCTCCTGCAGAGCTGAGGGTCCATGTCTTTAAACACACCACCCACTGGTGCAAACACAAACAAGTTTTTTCTATTCCACCTCATTTACTTTGCACAACCTTTAAGTAAGATTTGCGTCAGTGGTATTTCACAGCCTTTAATTGTGTCTTTGTAATAAAACCAAACATCTTCACAGTCAAACCAGCAGTCAGGGGGAAACCGCTAAAATTACAAACCAGGCTACATGAACAATGTGTTTAAAATGATGGATCTGAGCTGAAGCACTGGCTTAAATATGTACTGTTCGTACGTAAGATTAATGATTCAGTTGTATGTCGCCTTCAGCAAACACTGCAGTCTCCAGAGAATGAAACGAAAGCTCATCTTGTTGTCTGGTAAACAACTAACTTCACAACTAGTTAACAAAATTCTGTTTCTTTACATGACAGGCGCTCATGTTTACTCTGGTAAAGCAGCAAATCTGTCACTGAGAGAATCATTTCTTCAGTCAGGAATGTACAGTCGTTGTTTAAACATATTTCAGGGGAAATGCTGTTACTGTATCACCTGCAGGCTTGTGCATTCTGCTGTTGTCTTCAAAGCCTGTTCAGTAGCTACTCTCTGTGGCAATTGTTTGAAAAAACAAAAAAAACGATTCATAAAACATCATTAATAACTTCAAGTGGATGTCCAGCGGCACTGCTGGTAGCTGTAGCTTTCTCCATCAGCTTTGACTCAATGATCTGGAGTCTTAGGTGTCAGTTTGTAGGATTGTAACAGCGCAAAAGAGGTCATGTAAAACTAGTGGATGAATAAAAGGTATGTTGAGGTGTAGGTTTCAGCTATAGTGGTGCTCTCACCCCGTGGCTTTCCTTCAGCTGCTTCCAGACTAAATAAACCTCATATCAACACAGGATGGAAAGGTCTGTCGCCTGCTGCACCCTGAGCAGTGGAGTATTATTGTACTCCAACTCCAACACAATAAAGTACAATTTTGGCACCAAAAAAAATAGTATTTCTGATTGATTGTTTTAGTGTATGGAAAATGAAATAAACAATGATCTCCTCTGAACAGTCGGTTCATTGAGGGAGTTCTGACTACCGAGACCATGTTCAGACGTCATGAACATGTTGGAGGATTCGTTTCTGCGTTGATAGACTGAGCGCTTAAGAGATATCTAATTTTTAAAACTCACATTCAAACACATGTTCTCTTCTGAATACATAGCAATTAATTTTTTATTAAACAGATTATTCTAGAAAAAGTGAACTGCAAAAAATTCAAAAAAGTAAACTTTAAAATGGATAGTCTTGACATTAAATTACGCAAAAACAACAAGAACTAACTTTATGTGACCAGTTTTTTATCATTTGAAATATTCATATTTAAATCTGAAACTGCTGTGTTATCCACAGATAAATACATTTGACATTAGGCTTAAACAAAAATGTTAAATTAGAGCAGCTGACCTACTTTCAAACACTATCAACATAACCTTTCAAACGTTTCAAACGTTGAAATAAATAAGAATCATGACATTGGTTTTTTAACTGTAATACAAATTAAAACATACACAGTATGCAAAAATATACTTACTACTCGCTAACAGTAACAGCAGGATTCTTCAGAAGGTTTCCTTCTTCATGAAAGTTTCCTTGTATCTCGTCCGCCGCAGTTTTCCTCTCACACACGTGCACACATCACTTTCACCCAGATGTTCATCTCCCTTCGGTTCGCCACATGTAAGCAGCCAACACTGTAACAAGGTGGAGGCTGCCGTCACTTCTACAACACACTCTGCTGTGCACGTCTGCAAGTATGTGGTGTCAACTTACAAGGTAGACTACTGAAGACACGTTAGAGTGAACAAAAGAACCAACACATCGTTTGTTTGGTTTGAGAAGAAAACTTTATCCCAAGTATTATATGAGTCTGATTCTAGTAAAAAAAAACATTGTCCCAAATTAAAGTTTATTGGTATGTTTTTATTTATTTTTGCTGATGTCTGTCGGCAGCTAACAGGAAGCAAACTTGGTTTACATAGCAACGCAGATCCAATTAAGCGGTCCATATACAGTAGTAGGAACAATAATTACAAGCAGTAGCCTACATCAAAACACATATACACTCTCTCACTGTAATGTGTGATGTCTCTCTCCAGATCTCTGGCTGTGTTAGATGGTGCTTTAATTGTTAAGAGTTTACTTTTTTTTTTTAAAGGAACATTATATAGCCTAATCTGAAGTGTAATACTTTTGGCACACTTTTTAAATATAGGGGTGAGGTGCACCACTTTAAATAGGTTAAAAAGGTTTTGTGTTGCATTATGTTGTTGTTTTCCTACAACGTACACATAAAATAGCCTACAGTAGGTCTACAACAATACACTTTCATTTAACAAATTCAAAATAGAAGGTAGGAATATTTTAATTCCATTAAGTTTCATGTCACACATTAAAAAAACGAG